AAGGAGGAAATCGCGAAACAGCGGTGTAGAAAATTGTTCTTTACTAAGACAATGCGACGTGTCACAATACGACGTGTTGGGTACCATGATCAAATAACTCTAAATTATGGTTCAAATTGCTTTAACACCTATCGTATTCCCCAGATTTGGCCTCCAGAGACTACTTGTTTGCAGACCTCAAAAAAAATGCTTCAGTGATAAAGATGGGCTCTAATAAAAAAAATCATTATCGAAACTGAGGCATTTTCAAGGGCAAAGTTAAATCAATCGAAAAAGGCATAGAGTTGTTAGAGCAGCGCAGGAATGATTGCATTGATCTTACGAATAGTCGAATTTTGTCAAAAAGACTTTCTACAAGTCGAAATGTTAAAGAAGTGCTGGAATGATTACACTGATATTGAAAAAGATTATGTTGATAAATAAAGTCGAAATTTACCTAAAAGTATTTCTACAATAGAGGTATTGAAGTGTTAAAGAAGTACTGGAATGATTATATTGATCTCGAAGGAGGTTACGTTAATTAATAAAGTCGAATTTTGTCTAAAAGTCTTTCTATAAGAGATGTATCGAAATGTTAAAGAAGTGATGGAATGATGGTGTTGATCTTGGCGAAGACTACATTGCTGAATAAAGTCGAATTTTGCCAAAAAAACCTCTGCAAGAGAAGTATCAAAATGTTAAAGAAACACTGAAATGATTAGTTTATTCTTTAGGGAGACTATTTTAATGAATAAAGTTGAACTTTGTTTAAAAGTTTTTGTTTATATTTTATTCTACGCACTTATTAGCTAATAAGTATGTATATAGATATACAATAACCTTATATTCTCTATAAAATCTGTAAAAATTTAAAAAAGCAAAACTTTGATTATATTTTACTTGATTTACAGATTATTCATATATACCATATAATGTATGTGTATACTTCACATGAATGTAATTTTTAATTAAATTTTTAAATAAAACATTTATTTTTAATATTATACAATATCATTAACCACTTCTCAATATTTATTTATTTTTGCAGTGTATAAACAACGACGGTGCTATTATCATCATCGGAAAGAAATATTGAATTTATATTTCTAATAAATTTGCATTAAATGTGACGAAATTGAAAATAAGAATCTACTACATTTAAAATGTAATAATCACGATTTTTTATAATTAAAAAAAAAAAATAAAAATAAATAAATATATAAATAAATATAAAAAGTAACTAAAATGCGCAAAGAATCAATGAAATGTGATTGGACGGCAAAAAAGCAAAATCAACTGCAACAACTGCAACTGAAAACTTGTAGGCGAAGCAAAAAGCGTTACAAAAACAAAACCGTTTGCAACGCTCCGCTGCCGACGACATATAATCATAGCAATTATTATAATTTCATTAAAACCAATAAATTATTAATTGCAATATTACTACTGATAACAATGACAGCTACAACGACAATTTGTCAAGCCGCAGCTGCACCGCACGGTTTCGCAGCGGCGAGCCCGACCCGAATACTACCAATCGCTGCCGTCTTATTGAAAACAACAGCAACAACAGCAGCTACAACGTCAGCATCGTTATTATCGACGACTGTATTGGCAGCGTTAACTCCCACACAACAAAAACAGCAGCAGCTGCAACAACAACAAGAGCTGTTCGCTTTACTAACCAAAAATAGACAGACATCGCTAAATGGTATGGTAAATAGTGGATTTGCTGTTGCTGGCGATGGTGATGGTGATGTTGATGCTGCTGCTGCTGCTGGCATTGCTGACGCAGCATCAAGTTTGACAACGTCAACATCCGGCACGCGTGACAAATTCGAAATTGAACATAGCAAAATTGTTTCTGCCTTCAAAAACGCTAAAGACAATATAAAAAATTATAAAAAGAACGCTGCCAACAGTTATAATAATAATGAGCATCATAATGTTAAAAAGAATGCTGATGATGATGATGATGTTGTTATTGCGCCAGCAGCAGATACATTTCTGGAGACAACAGGTTTTTTTGCTGACGATGGACAAAAATATGAAAAAGCTGACAAGGCGGGAATTGGATCGATTAATATAAACGACCATATTCAGCATACGAATGCCAACAACTGCCCCAAGGAGTGCAAGTGTCTCAATGACTTCTTCGATTGTGGAAAAAAGCATTTGGATCATGTGCCCGAATTGCCAAATTATGTTGTTGTATTGTAAGTAGAAATAATATTTTCATATAATAAATAATTTATAGTTAAATAAATTAAAATTATTATCTATTTTGCATTATGGGTAGTTGGTACACAGTAGCGATTACTTGGGGGATGAATTTAAAAACTTATAAACAGTGGAAATTTAGTCAATAATCCTTAGGGTTGCAAATATCTACGCCAAACGTGCAATTTTATGCGGGGTGGTTGCGATTTAAAGTTGATAAAAGTAACAAACGTACCCTTATATACTGTAATTACAATATTTGCTTACTTCATTCACCTATTATTAACTTGGAAAACAATAAGAATTAATGAAAACGAAAATTAGAAAGTTGAATTAAATAAGTAGAATTAAATAACGAGTTGAAGTTTAAATTTAAACAAAATGGCTAGGCAGATTTTTAAACTTATAATTCCAACAATGTATATACCCATATAAATGCCAATTAATATGGCTAGTTGGAATTTATCAAGATCATAAATTCTCGAGTCACCCTTGTCAAAAAGTAATAATAACATAGTTGCAATTTTTCGAGATCATTAATTCTGAAGCCACCCTTGTCAAAAAGTAATAATATATAACAAAATGGCTCAACAGATTTTAAAACATAACTCCAACAATGTATGTATCTATATGCCAATTAATATGCTCAAGTTGCAATTTTTCGAAATCATTAATTCTGGAGCCAGCCTGGTCAAAAAGTAATAATATATAATAAAATGGCTCAACAGATTTTAAAACTTATAACTCCAACAGTGTATGTATCTATGCCCACTGAGATGACATAGACACAATTGAACAGGAACAAAAATTTTACTGGGCAAACCCCCAATCAGTAGACAACCTCACATATTTTCTATAACTAGAAATGCAGAATATGGAAAGAAGAAGAGAAAAGAGAAATAACTAAACTTTTTCTTTGTAAATGCTCAAGACTCGCAACATTGTTGTTGCCCACCGGATTCTAAAATGCAACGATATAAAATGTGTATATGACTGGATGACAAAATGTACACAAAAGTACACAAAAGCCATACGAGGTGATTTTACAGTGGAGTTTAGGTTAAAGATGCAGCCTTGTACTCAAAGCCCAGTTGAGGTTAAATAATGTCCAATAAACAATAAAGTCAAATACAAACGTAATATGGCGTTTACATTGGCCGAAAATGGCTCATTTTGGTCAAAAATCGAAAATGAGTAACGAATGGCTCATTCTTGCATATAAAATTTCAAGCACGAAAATGAGCAATATTCTCACATTCTGTATGAAAGCCGTTCGAATGCATTCCACATATGTTCCAAATGCAAAGGAATCCATTGAACATACCCTAAATGAAAGCTCTTCATGGCATTTTGACAGTTTGAAAAAGCTGTTTTGACATATTTACAAAAAAAGGTAAACAAATGTTTAGTGGTTGCATTTTCTTTAAAACGATGCACTGCTTTTACTTCCCAAAAAGTAATTAATCGAAGTTAAAAATATGTTTTAAGTTTCTAATGTAAGGTTTGAAGGCATATTTAATCTTCATGCAAAATTTTTTTGGCACAGGCCAAAAATCAAATCAACATGCAAGTTGAAAAATCAGCTGTTGAAATGAGAACAAATGAAATACAACGAATGTAAACATTTTCAAATGGCTCATTCAAAATGAGCCATTTTCGGCCAATGTAAACGCCATATAAATTAACAACACTTTACACAGATGTAGTAGCTTTCTCGAGAAAACAATTGCAGGGCAACAACGTACTAAACAGGCTACCGACTGATATCTACAAAAAAAAACGAAATCTTCCTTGAACGATATCTATCCTAACCCAATTGAAGTTAGGCTTTAGTTATGTTTTAAGCATTTACTTGTTACATATAAATACATCACTTCCCAACATTTACCCCATATAATATCTCATTTACCCCATTAGTATACTTATATCCCAACGCAGAAATTAATTTGGTCCTTATTGACGCTTGGCTCTAAGCTACTGATCACAGTGGCAAGGTTTCTCCACCTCGATCCGGGTTAATTTCTGATTAAATCTCACCCACCCCTTAACTATTCCATCTCCTAAATAACTTAACTTCTTCTCACTAACCCACTACCTAATCCATATTCTAACCGTATTTTGCAATTTCTTTAATGTCTGCTGCAATAAAGCTCAGTTCAGGTTAGAAAAATGACAACAAACATATATACCCTGTTGTTGATGTGATAGAACGGTGAGAACTATTAAGCAGATAACATGAAAGTAAATACAAAGACGTATACATGGGTTAGGATGTGTCTAGGTTATGTTGGTGTGAAAGCGGAAGCGATTATTAAGAAGTAAGAATGGATTAGAGATGGACGAAGTTCGAATTGAAATCAATCAGGATCATGTCGGAGAAATCTTACTTGAATTGGGCGTACAATATAGACCCAAGGTCGATTTAATTACATATACATATTAGTTGATTGCTTTAAAGTAAGGTTTCATTAGACTTTTGTAGTCTGTATTTAAAGCATGTTCTGCTTATAAAGCAGTTTTAATTTATATTGTAGAAATAAATTTATAACTTATTTACTATTATTTAAATTTACTATAAAATAATACTCTCTGACATTTTCAGGGATATGGTTGGAAATAAACTGAACGACACAACTGTACTGCAAATAAAAAATTTAACATCACTGAACAAACTGTAAGTATATATATTAATTTTATTTGCGACTATAAAAATATAATAATTCTTTGTTTTGATTTTAGTTCTTTAAAACGTAATCAACTGGAGAATATACCAAAATTTGTAGGCCTTTCGATGCTAAAGCAATTGAATCTTGCCAATAACCACATACAACATATATCACATGAGTCCCTAACGTTATTACCAAAGTTGAGAGTTTTGGACATGACAAAAAACTACTTACATAAAATTGAGATCAGTTATTTTCCAGCCACAAATACATTAGCTCATCTGTAAGTTGTAAATTGTTTTTTAATAATTATTTACATTATAATACAATATATTTTTTACAGAATTTTGAATTCGAATGAAATTTCCACAATTGATGAAAATGCATTTGAAAATCTATCAAATATTTTGGACTTAGAATTGAACAATAATCGCTTGACTATGCTGCCGGGCGGGGTGTTTAAAAATCTATCCAAAATGAGGAAATTGTTAGTATAAATGCGAATTATATTTTAATTAAATATTAATTATTCTTTTTATTTCTTCAGATCATTAAACTACAACCATTTGGAAATTAATTGGTCAACATTTAAAGGTTTAACGTCGTTACAAAAACTCTTTTTACAATCGAATAATATTCGCGCTCTTCAAGATGGCATCTTTCATGTTATGCGTTCGATAGAAACTATTGAATTGGATCATAATGATATCACTTCACTGAATCGTCAGGGTTTATTTAATTTGACTAAATTACAACATTTGAGCTTATCAAATAATTCAATTTCCCGCATTGAACTTGATACTTTTGAATTCACTGAATCACTTAAGTCCTTAGACTTATCACACAACAATATAAGCGAATTTAAACCACAACATTTAGATTGTCTCCAACACTTAAAGCATTTAAATTTGGGTCACAATAAGATTCAATATCTAGCGGATAATACTTTCGAATGTGTAAAGAATTTGGAAGATTTGAATTTACGACGCAATAAATTGGCGTGGATTATTGAAGATCAAGGAGCTATACCACCTTTTAAAGCACTAGGAAAACTTAAAAAATTAGATTTATATGGCAATAATCTAAAGCAGATTAATACCAAGTCTTTGAATGGCTTAAACAGTTTAGAGTTGTTGAATTTGGGTGGAAATGCGTTAGCATCTATACAAACCGGTGCTTTCGATCAAATGGCACATTTGCAAAAAGTCATATTTAAATCATTGAATTTTATATGCGATTGCGAATTGTTATGGTTTAGACGTTGGCTACAAAGAAACGCACAAACCAATACTCAAATTCATGCGAATGCTGTCTGTGGTTATCCAGAACATCTGTTAGATCGAGAAGTTTTATCATTAACGCAGACTGAATTAATTTGTGGTAAGAAAATTATAAAATACATTTTATGCATTACCTCGATCTCTTGGTAGTTTTTGGACATAATAAATTTATATGGTTTAATAGTACTTCATTGATTTAGAAATATAAACAACTCTTTTTTTATTCCTAGCTGATACTCCGAAACCAATTATTATAGAAGAACCAAATAATCAATTAGCTGTTAAGGGTGCCAACATAACAATGGAATGTATAGCTAAGTCACCAACTGCGGCATCTTTAGCAGCAGCAGATGAATTAAAAATAAAATGGCGGCACGATAATCACAACATAAAAGATCGCAACGAACGTGTTGTTGTAAATGGAAATCACAATGGATTTAGTACAACTGATACACAAATTCTACATGAACAATCGAATCACACGATAATTAAAGGTTATTTACGCTTATATAATGTTAGTTACGAAAGCGCTGGTAAATATCAGTGTGTGGTTTCTAATGCTTTTGGTACAACCTATTCACAAAAATTCAAACTTTCCATTGGAAGTAAGTATTTTTAAAGCAACAGTACAAGAAATTTATTAAATATTTTATTTAATTTACAGTTCATCCAACTTTCTTACAAATACCTTCTAACTTAACAATTGATTCTGGCAATACAGCACGTCTGGTGTGCTCTGCTGCTGGAGATCCAATGCCCGAAATAGCTTTACAAAAGTTTGGTGCTAGTGGTTTTCCAGCTGCAACTGAACGAAGACTAAAAGTCGTACGCGAAGAGAATGCTTTTATTATAACAAATGCAAAACCGATAGATACTGGCATATATACCTGTACAGCTGATAGTCCTGCGGGCGAAATAAAAATAAATGCTTCCCTAGTTGTTAATGGTGAGAGAAATAAGTCATTTATTTTTTTATTTATATATTTTTACTAATATTTATTTTATAATGTTTAAACATGATATGAATTTGCGATATAGACTTATGGATATATAATAATTATCTCTAATTGTATTTTTAAACTAAAATATGACACAAAAGTTATATTAAATAGAAAAGGAAAAATAGCATTGAAAATAATATTTTTACTTTCATGAATTGGATTTATTGGTTGACAATACAGCTGCTTTGAATATCATTCTTAATTGCAATTGCTGTTCGATTGCAAGGCGCAATCTAATAACACCCAATCTTGTCAAAATACGGCTCTGCGGATATCGACCGGTTATCATTGCATTTCGAATATCTTTCATCGTCATGCAGAATTGAATATACTTCTTGTAAACGAACACAATTAACTATTCTCCAAGCATATCTATGTACATACTACATAGATGAACATTCCAAACCCGACATGATCAGAAAATCCTTCACTTCGCAAAGCATCCATTGACAGCTTTCTTCGTATCATGAATATATCACAATGCAGCTAGCATCTGTGAGATCGAATACGAACTTGTACTAACAGCCCAGCCCTCTACATAAATACAATATACTCTTCGAGACCATGGTGGCACCGCAACAAAGTTCTTTATAGGCACCGCCTTATCTTGAGAATTATCCTAGCTCAATTAAGATTAGGATATATCCTTGTGCTAAATAGTTGCTTGCCACACATATATAAGGTAATTCCCAATGTTTGTCCCTACTGCAGTTCTATCCCCTTTGGGTCGATCATCTGCTTTTATGTCTTAATACACACATCAATTTGAGCTCTATTGATCTTTGATTGTGCAACTCTGCCTCTTTTGATATTGTCCATCTGCTGTGATCTTTCAACGCATATAACAATTTGAACTCATTTATGCCAGTTGAAAATTTTTTCCACCTCGAACTAAGACCACTGATGGACTTAAATAGATATTAGAAACATTTATATGGTCAGCTAAAAAATCCAATTGAAAAGAATAAAAAATGTTGCTATTTTTATTGCCTTTCATCTTTTTCTAAATGATTTATTTGTTAATTATATGTTTTTGTTAATATAAGCTAATTTCATTATTATATTTCCAGATAAACCGCAACCAACGATACCAGTAATGACTAAAGAAGTTGTTTTGGGTGAGTCGAGTATACTGGAGTGCCTTGATGATGTAGTGGCAGACTTAAATCAGCCACATCGTGAATGGTATAAAGATAACAAACCTTTTCATACATCACCAACATCTGATTCTGAACGTTACTACTATGAAACTGAAAAGAGGCTTCTTATCATAATGAATACCCAATCCATAGACGCTGGGAACTATCGCTGTGAAATTACGGATCAATTAAAATCATTTGTTGTTCAAACTGAATTAATTGTTGTGCAGGACAAAATGAAAATATATTATGTGTTATTGGGTGTTGCATTGCTCTGTTGTCTTATCCTTATTTGCGTCTTAATATGCTACTTAAAGTGTAAACAAAAACGTAAATTATCGAATATAAATATTGACCGGACTGGTGTTGGTGATGGAGTAAACAGTGGACTTATTAATATTGGTGGTGCACGTATAGCAGCAACAAATGATTCAACAATTCAACAACATTTATTGAATCACAGCCAAGGCAGTACGTTAGACCAAACACAGTTGACAACATTAAATCGTACCTATCTGCAAGATCAACTATTGCACACACATCCACGGCAGCAGCAACATACTCATCAAATGCGTCCACGCAGTTTAGCTGATTTAGATTTAAGTTTGAATACAAATAATGGTGCAACAAAACAACGAAATTATCTTTTAGGCAACGATTCACTCAACTATCAACAATTACTGCAACACGATGTAGATGCTATTGGTAATAAACGCATGGAGGATGTGCGTGAGAGTTTTACACTAGAATATTTACGGCAAAACTCCACTCAGGAGACAGAAATTAATCAGGATTATTTATCGAGCAAGGACTCCGGCACTGGTTCAGATGCAGCTGTAAAACGAAGTATAGAAGATTTTTCTTTATTGCCGCAAGAAGAGCAGCTACATATATTGTCAACACCAACAGCTATTGCTAATCATAATCGACGAAATGGTAGGACTATATTAGGAAATACAAATAGTTACACTGAAAACGGTGATAAAATTAGCCGGAATAAACATAATACAGAAGAAGATGAAGAAGATTTTGTAGCATTACGCCCACTTGGTGTATCAGATGTATATGAGGTTGATGAAATTGAACGAAGTGAACAAGAACGTCTATTTTTTAACAATAATCGTGCTCTTCAAATGGTATCAGGTATGAATCGTGATATCTGCGGCAATGCTCTAAACTATGAAGGCGACACTATTAATACTGAACTCAGTAGAAAAAATGATAGTCATCCGCAGCAGTTACCACATTTAAATAATAGTAAATGTAAAACAAATTTAAGTACAAATTTCAATAGTAACGCCACAGAAAAGGCGGTTGATATTTAACAAACTAATTATTAACATTCGAAACCAAATAAGACTGTAAATATTGAAAAACGCCTTCTTTCAAAAGAAAAAAAAATCATGTAATATATAATTTAATGTAGCTATAATTTAATTAAAAAAAAAACTGCAGCTAAGCAACAATACCAGTGAATACTATGTGCATACCACAGATATGTAATTTGCTTTATATACAGTATAATAATTTCAAATGAAAGCATTCAGTTTTGAAATGTAGCACAGTTTAAAGTGGAATATGGCACGGTGTTTTTACTCTTGAATCTTAACCACTTTTTAAATTAATGTACACCATGTGAGGAAATGCTCTTTTACAAGCGCTTACTTACTTACTTACAAGCGCTATCAAATACAAGCGCTATCAAATATTATTTAATGACACTGGTGTGACGTTTGTAAGAGAACATTTGAAAGTACACTACAGACGATCAATCTACATGATTAAGTTTTTTGAATATTTAGTGAATATATACTGAATATATAGTGAATATAAAATGAATATAATCGAATGCAGGTAGACAGACTGTGTATATTTGACTTTTAATTTTTTTTCATGCAATTCGATAAGTCAAAAAATATCTGTGCATTTATTCATATGAATGCGAGTCAGATACAGTGTTGTGCTTAATTCAAGAAACACTCGATTTATTCATACGTACGTAAGCGTACGGTGCACTGCTGTCTTACATGACATATTAGTGATCAAACATTTAGATTGTCTGTAGTTTTCTTTATGTTAACCTGCAATTTAAGAGTGAGGACTCCGTAACCCAAACTGTCACCTTG